CGAGAGGATCCTCACAGATCCGGACCACCCATTGCATGCAGAACTGACACTTTGTCATTCAACACGCTCCCAATTCCGCCAAATTTCATCTCGAATTAATGCACACCGCAATTCACCCATACCGTATCTTGCTCGTCTACTTACAAACAAAGAGCGAACAATAAGTGAACTCTGTCTTAACCCTGGATTATGAATGTCCCCATGGCAGCGAAAACTTTTCTCCCTGTTGATTATGTACATTGTGACGGTTAGCGTGTATGCTTTTTAACTGAAATGTGAGCTCCAGTGCTTGCAAAAGTTATAAACAATACAAACTGCCACTTTACAATATCAAAAGAAAGCACAGGAACAAACAATGATAGCTCTTCGTATTATTACCACTTCAGTGACGCAGAATACTTACCCAACGAAGAAACAACTACAACTCCCAAGCCGATAGCCAACGGGCCACCCCATTTTAGAAAACGATCCGAAGGGGCAGAGGCAGCCACAATTGACAGGCCGCCCACAATTCCACCAGTGTACACGGCCGCTCGGGTGAGAAGGGGACCGCCAAGTAGACACACCGGCATCAGCATACCACCAATACTGGCCGAAAACAAGGCCCAAGCCAAGTGTTTAGCGCTGAGGCCAGATTCTGGATAGGGCATCATCTGCATCACAACGGGGTTCATGCAGAAAGCGGAAACGGAGGTGATGAAAATGCTGACGAGTATAACAAACGAGGGTGCTTGATTTCACTGACTTATTGTGGAAACATCAAGCCGATGACAGTTTCACACACAATAAGACTGACAGGATAATACGGTAAATGAAAGCGTTTTATGATGGATCGTGACAAGACATACAGCAAATCAATTGCAATCTACCAATTGTTCTAACCGGAAATACCAAATATCTTTACAAACAGGAAGAGAAACAACTACTAGCGATATATCCTATACATATACCGTTTTATAAGTAGTTCTTTCTTCGTGCAAGAACAACACTAACAAACTTCAGTTCCGTTCTTGCAAACATTAACCATGCACTTTTGTGCGCCGGTTTTGGTTGCTGTCTTTTCGTGCCTCATT